GGGCGGCTGCTGCCCCGCGCCGGGCGGGCCGGGCCGGGCCGGTGCCCTAAGATGGCCGCGTGGAGGAGTTCACCTTGCCGCCGCCCGGGAGCGGGCCCGGCCGGGCCTTCCCGCGGGGCAGGGGCGCAGCTGGGTTGCCCCTTCTCTCCCGCGGGCCCGGCCCAGCTCACCTCTGCGTCTTGGTTTTCTCCCCTCTTGTAGATCCTTTAGCTCGACCTAGCTATGACTTACACTCCGGCATGCCCGCCTCCGCGACGTAAGTAGGGACAGAGCCGCAGCGACAGTAACGTGCTGGGATAAGCGGGGTCAGCGCCAAGGGCTAGAGCAGCTCCGGACCAGCCTGAGGGGCCAGGTCACCTCGTGCGGGGCCCAGCACACGCCCGGCCTCTGCGCCCCTCCGAGAGATGTCTGCTTAGCTACTAGACTACATATACTCGATTATATATGTATATAGATAATGGGGTATTTTATAAAAACGTAGTTTATAAAACGTGCCGTTATCTCAATATATACAAAAATGTATATATTGAGATATGAAATGCATATATAATCTAAAATTGGTTGGACTAGATGACCTCTTGAGGTCCCTACTTTTCTTCTATGATTCTATATTTCTAATTTATATGTGCACACATACACACAGGATAGATGCAATTAAAGCTTTATACTTGTAAGTAACTTGATTACGAACATCTGTGTCTGTATTTATAAAGCTTTAATTACATGTGCTCTTCATGCATTTTTTCTCTTCCGGATTTTCAATGTCCTGGAGTCACACCAAATATCCTTGAACGATTTCTTACGGCTCCTTTCATCTGAGGGTGTGAACCAGTTGAAACATTATCTTGAGGGAAAGCTGTGATGCAATAATACTAATAGCATTAATTGAGTTGTCTTCCCTGGTATTTAGCAAACCGACTTTCCCTTTTGGTAGGAGATCTCTTGTTTGGGGTTTTTGAGAACAGTAAATGTGATTGGATGATTCTAGGATTTTACAAGAAAAAAGGATAGGTGGAAGTCCAGATTAGGGTGGAGCTATTATTTGCATCAAATCCTTTTCTTGTTCTTAAAAACTGAAATAAGATTGAGAGAGGCAATTGCTTACTCTCTTCAAATTCCCAAGTGATACATTTCTAAGATACAAGTATGCTTAAAATCCATGCTACTCATGTGAAATGTAATAGAAGAATTACATTTTAATGAAAAGATAAACAGCCTTTTTGATGGTATACATACGCAGGCAGCCGACATATAACAAATGTAATTTGGGTGAATATACAAATTACTAACAACAGTAATTAATTAGTACTGTCACATTCATAAAACTTCATAGGTTACAAACTCTTATAAGCTGTTTGTCAGTTTACTCATTCATTAGCACAGCTGTTATTTAGCATAAATCTGTTGCTGCCATAATATGAAATTGTCTCTGAATCTAGAGGGTCCCACAGAAAAAGGACCCCCATAAGTTAATTGCCAGTGTTTTGATGCTACAGGCTGCTACAAAACTGAAATTGGAAGTAGTTCTCCCTAGAATCACTGCTTTTGAATTAAGGCACATTTCTTAGGAAGAAAAACGTGGCATAGAAATTGAAAATGTTGATGTGAACTCTTAAAATAACCACTAACAAGATCTGCCATTGTAAATCTGGTTGCACAGTGAGCATTAGGGTAGAAATTAGCAACTGCCTTTCCACTTAGTATAGCTCATTCAGTGCAACCATTTTAAAGTCTTTAATCACAGCAGTTTTGAGCTAGCTCTTAAAATGTTTTTCTGTAAAATGTCTGCTACTTAACCTGTGGATGTTACTTTTAGTTTTTGTTTTAAGTGCAGGTAGCAGCCAATCCTGCAGAGATGGATTTGTTTGTCTCTACAACAAGGCATCTAGCTACTTTACAGAAAGAAAGCTTGTTTTAGTTTATAAAATTGAACTAATAATATCTGCCTTAAGCTAGCCAGTAAAGGCTGTAAGTGGGCCTGTTAAAATAATATTGGAGTTTTACTTCCTTCAAATAATAAGATGGGTGCCAGTACACTTTACAAATGAATAACTGTCATATAAAATGTTTAGCTTTAAAGCATTTGTTCCCAAATGTGAGATTTGTATGTACACTAAGAAAATTATTTCTTTACAGTACCAACCTCTTTGAAGTTTTGCCTTTTTGGCGGGTGGTGGGGAAGAGCTCACTGTCAGAATTATTCCAGGATAATGCCCTGAGGGGCTGGGTCTGGAATGGCTGTTCCAGTCAGTTCCCTAGTGCTTATAAGGTTTTTAAAAAGTGAGTACCTGAAACTTTGCTTCAATTCCCCAGTGATTTAAGGCCCTCACGGACTTGAAGTCCACAGGTTGTATAAGAATGGCTTCCCCTGGTTTTCATGGTTTTCGACAGGAACTTTTTAAATGAGGTTCAAACTGTTCTGTTCATCTCGGTTAGGCTTACCACCTGAAATGGTAGTATAGTACCCTCATCTACATAATAAAATGGAGACGTTGCATCTAGATTCTTAAAATGTGTGTGCAAGAACATTCTTTTTTACTATTATTTTTTTTAAATGCAAAAACAGGCAGGTAATACATTCAAGCAGTGGTGCCCTTATAGTAGGGTGACTGTCTGTCCCTGTTTAGCCAGAACAGCCCTGGATTTCAGAGGCTGGTCTCGGCCACCTGTTGAGAATTATAATGGGCGTCCTGGGGACATGGGGTGCAGTCTGGCCAGGAGTGGGCTAGTGCAGACCACCTTGCAAGTGAGCAGGCAGGCACTACTGCCTGCCCTGCACACCGCCGTGCCCCACCGACCTGGGGGGCGGGCAGTGTCTAGGATTTCCATGTGGCCAGACTAAGTAGTTCCTCCTCAAAGCTTCATTCTCAATTTTAAAAACATATTTTTTTCTAAACTTTACCTGCTGCTGAAGGATGAGTGTGTTGTTATTTTAATTTTAATTTTTTTCGGGGGGGAGAAGATGACAGTACTTTTCTAATTTGTTCTACTGTATCGTTTCCCTTGTTTTGGGGGGAAAATTACCATTAAATGATGGAACAATAGTATTGCCTTGCGAACTTCTGTACGGTGAAAGATAAGCTTGAAGACCAACATGAATATTTGGATGGGTGTGGGTGGCTAGAAAGAAAGAGTTGAATAGTAACGGCTCTAAAATATCGAGTAACCTGACAGCTCTTCTGCTACACTAAAGCTGTCAAAAGCTCAGCCTGAGAACAGACCTGGTAAATGTTCTTGGTTTGCTTCTCTTATCTGATCTTCCCCACATTAAGTTGCTGGCCATTAAACTGTTTTACAGTACCCAGGAAAAGCCTTCATCTGACTCTTTGCTTTTAGACTACTGTATTTGGACTCCCATCAGCTTTATTTCTGTTACTTCTTCAGTAAGTTTTTCTTTAATGCTCCTAATGAGTCCCAGCAAAAGGTAGTGAGATAACAGGGTCGCAAAAAAGAACCCATCTTTTCTTTTCTTTAGCACTGAAATGCACTAATCACCAGGCAACAAGACAAGTTGTCCAATCATTTTTAAATTGGATGTACACAAATATCATGCAGTTCAAGTAGTTGCTGCTGGCTGTTAGGTATTCTTTCCTTTGGAGCAGCTATTGGGATTCTTGAGGATTTCCATAATGTTTAGTAAAATGGTTATGGACTTTAAAAACCTGGTGAATTTTTTTTAAATATATATTTTTTTTAAATCTTCCCCTAGACTTGGCTTTTAAACAGATATTCAAGTGGAGATGACAGCTAAATAAACAATCCTGCATGTATTTCTTAAGTGAAATCCCAGCTCTTGCTAACTTCCAATCTCTTAATTTGGAACAGAAACATCTAACTCAGAGTTAAATCTGTTTTTTCTGTTAAATCTGTGGGTATATTGCAGGGCATTATAACTAGTTACTGTTTTAGTTTAATAACGTCTCTCTCAAGTCCATATATGACCTATTAAGACCAAAAAATCTTAAAAGGAGTTTGAGTATAGCTTGTTCTTTTGTGATAAATGAATACATACTAATTAGCCTATTATCTTTCCAGCTCCAATGGCGATCCCTCCATCCTATGCAGACCTTGGCAAATCTGCCAGAGATATCTTTAATAAAGGATATGGTAGGAATAATGATTTTTATGATAACCAATATGAACTTGCATTTTTCTGAAATGGAAGTGCTAAGTTTTATACTCTGCAGATCTTCTGACATGCTTTTATACACCTGCATACAGTGAAACCAGCTTGGGGGTAGGGAGAGCATTTTAAATATGTGGCCATCAATACCAAAGCAACATATATACACAGATAATTGGTTGTGCTTAGCCAAGGGATGGGAATAGAAAAAAAATAGAAAGAAACATAAGTACATATCAAGGAAGCAGGAAAAATTTACAGGAATTCTGTGGGAAAGAAGCAGAGCCTTATGGTGCAGATGCTGGACTGGAACTCCAGATTCTGCATTCAGAACGCAACTCTGCTCTGATCTAAACTTGACAGTTTAATTGGCATAGATGTACATTTTATTTACTGATAAACCATTATAAACCATAAGTGTAGATACAAAGGGCCTTATGCTGGTATAGCTTTGTAGTACTGGTACCTAAACTACCAACTGTACCAAGATAAAAGCTCTTGCATACTGACTAACTTGACCACTGTGCTGTTATAACTGTTAGCTTATAATAAGAGTATCTCCTTCAAACAGAGAAGATCTGTGTGATTTTGGGGATCTGCTTAATCCACAGTTTTCCCAAGCACTGCTGGCAGCTGCCTGGAACCTCATGGAGCATCACTAACTTTGCTAGAGCTCTACATGAGCAGATGTCCACCAGAGTACAGTATAGAATTAGGGTTGTAATCTCTCTGTGTTTGAGTTGGCAGTCTTCTGCCTTTCTCACAGTTAGTCATCTCAATACAGACTCAAGTTCATAAAGGTAGAGATTGTCTGTTTGTGACTATATATTTGTACTTTGTGCTTCAGCCCCTAGCCTCTAGGATAGTTGTTCCCAACCTTTTTTTGCTGCAACCCTAAATTGGCCACCAACAGGACCTCCTAACCCGGCACTGTGGGGGCTTCTGGGAGTGGAGTGCAGCACTGGTGGCACCTCCGGTGCGGGGGAGCTACCATTGTCCCCTCTGTGTGCAGTGGACCTCCCCTGCCCACCCACCGCTCCTGGGCCGTTTGTGTGAGTGCGTGTGTATGCAGGCCCTTCGGAACCCTACTGATGACCCCCCACGACCCTGATTTGGGTCACACCCCAAGGTTGGGAACCAGTGGTGTAGGAGTTGCAGCACAGAGTACACTGGAAGTAATAGCTCTATTGGATCATTAAAAGTAATAACATAAAATTTAGGAAATTGTTTTTAAGGCTTATGCAGATGTAATAACATGGGAAATAATTACTTAGACACAATACAGTTTAAGTTGCATTCATCCATATGTGTGATGCATCTTTATGGTGGCAAAGATGAAGAATGGTCACTTCTTGTCTCTAACTTCTAGGTCTCAAACTGACAAAATCATACTTATTTGTCCTAATGTGGAGGCTTGGTGGGAGGGATTGCCAGTGTAATTCTCAGGCTGCCACTGTTGTAAGAGGCAGCCTTGCTTATCTTACACTTGCTTAGTGTAAGATAAAGCAACTTTATTATCGGGAAGCTGACACTGAAAAAGGCACTTGAATAAATCTCCCTCTTGTAATAATTCAGAATTATTTCCCGGTTTTAGTGATTGCATGAAACTTTTTTGCCTATCTTAGTCCTGCAGAGTTGAGAGCTATGAAAGAGTATGATTGATTTCATTTTGGTTGGTGCTCAACATAGATTCTGCAAACAGAATGCCATTTGAATTTTTTATTGATAGCAGCAGAAAGCTGGAAAAAAAAATGCTGCTTTACTTTCAGGGCCAAAGTTGGCTCGGCATAGTTGCAGCTGCTTGAAGGGAAAGGGAAGAATGATTATCCTTTAGATGGAGTAGCCAACTGTCTTGTAGGAGTTATCCGTGTAGAATAAAGGGGGGCAGAAGAGGGAGCTTAAAATATTTATTTGAGTATTTGTTTATAACATGTTGTAGTAACTTCAGCCTCTCCTTGTTAAGGATTTGGACTTGTGAAACTGGATGTGAAAACAAAGTCTGCAAGTGGAGTGGTAAGTCTTGCATACAGTTGTATTTTTGATTGTGCTCTAAGTCTGTGGGAACACTTTCCTCCTTATTAAAGGACAGCTTTTTTTAGATGCTGTTAGGTAGGTGACAAAATACTTTGATAATAGTTGGCACATTATGCTGTAGTAATCCATATAGGTTTGTAACTTTGAATGTAACAGCAGCATTGCAGTGTTTGCTAACATGCTGTAGTTCAGGTGTATGCCCTGCTTAGCAACTTTGTAGATACCAAATCATTTATTCTATATGGGTGCAGGGGACACGGAAATGAGTGAATAGCAGATCTGTTCTTTAAAGAACATACAGGGTGAATCTACACATGCAATTCAGGCAATGTAAACTCTGCATCAGTTTGTTCCAGAGTATACTGCTCCTGGGTGCAGTATCTTCACACGTGCCCAGGACAGCAACATTTTGAGCTGGGATGGAGCAGCCTCTGGCCCAGCAGCAGACTCAGGGGGGGGTCAACCCTTGGGTTTCAGGTGGTGGCATGGGGTGGCAGAGAGGCTGGCTGGGGCATGTGCCCTGAAACTGCGGAGCTGTATGGCTGACCCCCTGCCTCTCCCCTCTGAGCCTGCTGCCAGCCCAGGACTGCTCTGCCCTAGCTTTCCAGGTCACCATCCACACGTGTATTGCAGTGCAGTAAAATGACTCCACTATAAGCTAGTACTGTTCCTAGCAGTACTATCTTACAGCAGAGGTAATTAATTTAATGCACCCTAATATTGGCACACATGTAGATGGTGATGCTTTACCACAGAACTAATTGGTCAACTCTGCAGTTAAGTGTAGATGCACCCACAGAAATCTTAATTTGCTTCCACTGGATAATTCTTGGTGTCCATAGATTCCTGTTCTGTGTGCAGAGTAAAGCTTCATCTGTCTAGCCCAGGGATGCTTAACCTCCAACCCATGAGCCAGATGCAGTTTCCAGCACTCATTTGGCCTATGGGGTTCCCCATGGATCTTTTTGGGAAGTCCTGTGGGTATGATCCTGAACACTAAATTGAGCATGTGTGGGGCTCCATCCTGGCTGGGGGAGCGGCCCTGCACCATGCTTCTGGTCCACAGGTCCAAACCTGTGAGCACCACTGGTGTATCCAATGTGTTCACTTTGCCTTGGCAGCAGAAAAATGGATTAGCATTATACCACTCCAAGATGTATGGTGTTTGGTTTTCTTTTTTAAAATTAGCATGTGGCAGTTGAGCGATGGCTCAGTTTGTTACATGAGTGTTTTGTAACGCTGAAAAAGGCCAACCTTCAAATCTTACTAAGGCTGAGTCTGCAGTAGTAAATTTTAATAACATAACTGCTTGTCTATACTTAGCCCAAGAGCTTGGCAAAACTCTTCAAGTGGTCCTTCAGCCCAAATAATTGGCCACCACTGGATTATACCGTTTGAAACTTGGGAGCATGCAGACATCTAGTGGTTCACTAGTGTACTTCAAGTAAATATTTTGGCCCTAGGTAGTTTATTTTGACTGATTCCTATAAAAATTCTCACGCCTTTAGAAAGGATGAACTGCAGTTGGTGTCTGTCCTGTTCCTCTACTACATACCCCCTCTCCCTCTCCAGCCCCTGAGAATGTTCTTAGCAATATTGGCATATTACTGTATTTACTGTAATAACTAAGTATTTTCTTCAGTGTGTGATGAGGTGGGTTTAGTACTCCAGGAATAATTGTTTAGATATGCTTTACTAATAAAACAACTGTCCTCCTTAGCACTAGTATATGAAAGGCATGTTATATGTTATAATTAGCCACCAATTCTAAGAGGCGGGGGTGGGATATTAGGTCTGAGCTAATTGAGAGTTGGTATATTAACATTGTGGATTGATTTTCTGTATAATTTAAAGTTTTTTCTATTGGAATTTTGTTAAACTAATGAGGATAGGTTGGTATGGTTTCTTTCTTGCATTCAGAGTCTTAATCACATTTGTGAATGAAATCTGCTAAATATTAGTAGTTAATGTTACAGCTAGCTACCCAGAGCATCTTTTTTGCAAAGGGTGGCATTATAAATCTAACAAATTTGTCGTGTCCCTAAGCTTAATATTTTTTTGCTTGGGAGTATGTATTCTCTTATGTGACTATTAAAATGCGTAGCTGGAACAGTAAGGCTGCTGTTCTAATTTTTGCTTAGCACCAAAGTTGAGGTCCAGTCTGGGTAACGATTATAAAATAATATTGCTCTATTTAAGGTACATATTTGGAGCCATCTCACAGTTATAGAGTGACAATCTATCTTTGGAGAAGAAAGGCTAGAATAGCAAGATTCAGGATTGCGACATGCTGCCAGAGCTGTGTAGGAAGCTTTCTGCCAGGCCCAAATCTGTGATATTAATCTTACTAATGTTAAGCAACAAACTCCCCTCTGTATTTGAAACACTTAATTTCCCTTCCTTTTCAGGATAAAAAATTAACTTTGAAATAAATTTCTTCAGCGTTATATATAGCAGGGAGTAGGAAATATATAGTTGAGCTGCTGAATAGTGTAATTGCTACTTTGTCTGCATTTTTATGAATAGGTACAAAGTGTTGGGTTCTTCCAGACATTCAGTGGGATATTGCATGTTAACATAAATTAAACTTGTCACACAGGACAGAGCTGCTTTACAATTGCGCAGTGTTCACTTTTTAAAATTCTCTCCAAACTAAATAAGATGTTGTTCAACCCTGTTTCTTGTGTGTGACTAAATGGTATGTGCAGCCCATGAACCATCTTTACTTTTTTTGTCAGGAATTCACAACATCTGGGTCATCGAACACAGACACTGGAAAGGTGAATGGGAGCTTGGAGACCAAATACAAATGGGCTGAGTATGGTCTGACTTTCACAGAAAAATGGAACACAGATAACACTCTGGGAACAGAAATTGCTATTGAAGACCAGGTAATAGAAAACAAAAATTAACTATAAGTAGACTGTCATCTAAACAGTAGATTTAAGTTGATAAGTTGTTTGGCTTGTTTTGTTTTCCAAAATAGATTGCCAAAGGTTTGAAACTGACTTTTGACACAACCTTTTCACCAAACACGGGGTAAGAGTTTCACTTTTATTTGTTTTCTTACAGTACCATTTTTGGCATAATTAAGGAAATACTGACATTACTTGCAGGGTTAATTATTGGGTAAATTTCTATGGAAAAATAAAAAGATTGTTGCTTGGATCAACCCACTTTTTTTTTTTTTTCAAATAATTAAATATGACTTGGTTGCTTAGATATGGAGAATTGTCATGGAGAGAAGTTGGGGGGCATAGGGAGGCAGAGGCGTACATTTTTAAGTCATTCAAGATGTAAAACCCCCCACAAAAAGTAGCACTTTACTTTAAACTCAGCACGTTCCTGTGCTGAGCACACCACATGCCCAGAAGAGGCAGTACATTAGTTGGGCCCAGCTTGCCCAACGTCTGTATAAATCAGGTGCTTCGGTGGGTTTTTTTTTGTGCTTTTATATAATAGCTAATTGAATCAGCTAGGTAAAAGTGCCAAAAAACCCCATTGAAACACTCACTCTACGTAGGCATTACAGTGCTGGGTTGAAGTAACACGCTGCTGCTTCTGGTAAATTATGGGAGTTTTCTTGGGTTTTTTGTTCGGGTTTTTTTTTCCTCATATTTGTCAGCGGCCTAAATGTGTAATATTTATTTCCTTAAAAACCTTTTTTTATGCATTATTTATATTTCTGCTTTCTTGACTGGTCAGTTATGTCTTTCTCCATTCTTGACAACTCTTATACTTTGGCTTTTGTGTACCCACTGCAGGTTTGTAGAGATCTAATTTTGAACTTCTTGGATGAAGAATTAAGCTTTTGTAAAGTAACTTTTTTATTTTATTTTCCCAGGAAGAAAAGTGGCAAAATTAAATCATCTTATAAACGTGAATGTGTAAACCTGGGTTGTGATGTTGACTTTGATTTTGCTGGACCTGCGATCCATGGTTCAGCTGTTTTTGGTTATGAAGGTTGGCTTGCTGGCTATCAGATGACTTTTGATAGTGCCAAATCAAAGTTAACAAGGAATAATTTCTCTGTGGGTTACAAGACTGGAGACTTCCAGCTGCACACTAATGTGTGAGTAATTGGGGGGTTTTTAAGGCTGTTGGGAAGACAAGATGTGTCATATTGAATGAATGGCTATAGTTTGTGCAATGTTTATGAAGAGTCTGGAAAAGAACTTCTTGCTCAGTTAACCAGTATGTCACTTTTTGGATAACAGCTGAGACTTCTTAACATTATCTTTAGCCATTTCCATGCCTTTGACTTAACTAGGATTTTTGTGGTGTTTGTATAAAGTAATGTCAGATTCAAGTGTGCAGCACTTTTACAGTCGTAAAAATTGAAATACAGTATTTCAGTAGTCTTTACCAAGTAGACTGTTGTCTGCAGTAAGGTGGAGAGAATTGTACTGTTATGACAAACCTGCACCCCTACCAGAAATAGGTGTGAGTCCATTACATAGTTTAAATATGCTTTATCAATGTTTCTTAATTCTTGCTGTAATTGAAAAGTCTCTCTTCGTTCTCGGTTATTCAAAGCACTCAGACTTAACAAACTTACCATTATGTGGCAAAGTAATTAGTTTACTTATTCTGTTGATTTTTTTTTTTTTCTATTTAGAAGTCCTTGTCCAGCCTCTAATGATTGTTTGAAGACGCCTTATTAAATTGCAGTCTAAATGATTGTGCATGTCATTTGTTAGTGTAGTAACAAATATATGTGATTCCACTTATGTGCTGCATTAGGAAGCCATTTTGCATGTTATGTCCTCTTAATACAAATTTGTTCCCTGTCTTAGCCTTGTAAAAAGGAAGGGATTGAGAGGGAGTGGAGTTAATAAAAGCAAGTTCAAATAGCAGTATTCAGGTCTATAGTAAATTGCTTGCAAAATTAATTAAAAGATTTGAAATTGGCATTGCACTTAAAAATAATAAACCTCCCCCCTTTAAAATATTTCTTCAACGTTACTTGATATGATGCTACTTTTCAAAACGTTAGGTATCCAGTCATTACCAATTTAGCTTGCTGTTTTATTCCTTTGATTTTTTTATTTTTTTTTTTTTTCTGTATTCTTTGTTTCAAATGGTTCATATTGGTTGCTTTGGTTTTTTTGAGATTGGCTCTTCCATGAACTTTTAACATTATATTGCCCTCCTCCTATTTTCATTTTTTTAATGGAAAACTTTGAATATTTTGTTCCTGTCTTTTAGATGACTTGGTTGAGTAAAACTTAAAAAAAAACCCTAATTCTAGGGGATTTATTTTCCATAATTCTTATAGTTGAAAATATTTTGCAGCAATGATGGGTCAGAATTTGGTGGCTCAATTTACCAGAAAGTGAGTGACAACCTTGAAACTGCTGTAAATCTAGCTTGGACAGCAGGCAGCAACAGCACTCGTTTTGGTATTGCAGCTAAATACCAGTTGGATTCTACTGCTTCTATCTCTGTAAGTATCTCCTTGGGTTCAGCTCCATTAGCACCTCCATCACAATCTATGCAGGCCGGCTTGTAAATTTTCCTTAAATGCTTCACACCTAATAATAAATTAATTTTTCTCCTCTGTATCATAAATAATGTTTCACAGGTCAGTACTAACAAGTAAAATGGAATGTAGCATGTAATTTAGTATGTAACTACTGTGACTGATACTTGAAGTATTGCAGTTATACCAACAGCAGTCCAAATGTATTAAACTTTTTGAGGGTAACTTCAACAGTTTCACATGATAAGAATTCGATACTGGCTGCTTCTTCCATTTTTCATTCAATCTTCCATAGCTTAATGGTCAGTTACTTGTACAGTAAAAGCTCTGTTATCTGGCACCCCCCAGGAATGGGGGATGCCGGATAACAAAATATGCTGGTTAATTGAGTGGCCCCGGCTGCTGCTTCTCCCGCTGTGTCTGGGGCGTCCCACCTGCAGGCCCTGCGGGACAGGGAGGCGGGCCCCGCATAGCCCCATGCAGCCTGTTATGCCCCTGGGCTGTGGGGGCTCAGCAGCACAGGCTGCTTTGCCCCAGGCCTTGGGGGCTTGGAGAAATTGGAAGTGCCATGGTAGGCACTTCCACTTTCACTTTTTCTTACAAGCCAGCATGCTGGTTAACAGAGCATGCCGGCTTGTAAGGTGCCGGTTATCGGAGAGTTTACTGTATCTGTAATTCCTCCTTCAAACTATGTCTTGTGATCTGGAATAAGTATTATAACTTAGATTAATATACTACTCTACATCCTATTGATTTGAGGTTATGTATAAGTATAACAATATATGCAAAGCTTCAGTAATTGGCTGCTCCTTGATTGGAGGCATAAATAAAGTTTCTTTTAAAAATATTTCATCACATGTTGTAGCTTGTTCTGAAGCAGTCCATTTCAGGAGTATCATAAGGATTGGCTTGGGTTTCTTCCTAGAGAAGACCTAAAAAATATTTTCTGATAACTAGTGTTGTTAGAGATGCATGTCTGAGGAGGATTTGTAGCCACCCTCTCATAAATATTTCTTCTGGCATTAGAGTCACATGCAATGTAATGGTGATGTTTAATTTAGAAGGAAATAAAAGCTGTTTAGGTAGTAAGTACAGAAATCCTGAAACTATAAACATCTTGCTGAAGCTGTGATGACTGTGTTGGATGACAATATTCTGCCTTATAGGATTATATCAGAGAGCATTTCTTGAACTTTTCTTTTTAATTACTGCTTTTCCTCTTGTTTCAGGCAAAAGTGAACAATGCTAGTCTAGTTGGAGTGGGTTACACCCAGACCCTAAGGCCAGGTAAATATTTTTGAATGAATCATTGCTCCAGCCATGCATAGGAACCCAAAACTATAGACTTTGGTTCTGTTTTTGCATGGCTAGATTACTTAAATGTAACTGCTTCTATTTTCCCTCTTCAGAATGACTGGAGGCTAACTGCTGATTTTTGTGACAGTAGTGTATGTTGTGTGCAGCAAATGTTTACTTTGTCTTCCAGAAAAAAATGCTTTCACATTTGCAAGCATTGCAAATACACCCCCCCCC